TTTTGCTTTCAAAACTTATTTTATCCTTAAAGAATCTTTTAAAAATTGTTACATATTTAAGAATTAGAGTGTGATATTTCAGTACATACTTAAGGGGTGCAGTACAATATTTCAGCATATTTATACATTTTGGAATGATCAGATGATTGTAATTGGCATATCGTTCACTTCAAGTATTTATCATTCTTTGTGCTGTAAATGTTGAAAATCTTCTCTTCCACCTGTTTTAGAATATACAATGAATTCTCATCAATTATGGTAACTCTACTGTGGTATAGAACATTAGAAACTCTTCCTCCTATCTAACTGCACCACTGTACCTGTTCCTCACTTTAGTTTCATCCTTCTTTCCCTACACCCTTCTTAACTTTGGGCTACTACTACTCTACTCTACTTCTATGAGACTTTTATCTCCTTTATTACAACAATAAATTCTGTTCTCTCTTTCCTGTTTGCCTCAAATTCAGCTTTGTTGTTAAAAGTGAAGCATGATCTGATTTTTAAGATGGTGTGCTAGAGACTCCCAGCACTTTTCTGCATCTCTATGAATTTCAAAGAAGTCTTCAAGTGGCCTGGTATGGAAACTATCTACAGAGTAGATAGTTAAAAACCAGGTGAAATCCAGAACATTAGATATATACAAGAAATTATATCCTGTAATGTAGGAAATGGAGAATTCCCTGAGTGTGTCTTCAAGGAGAAGAGAACATGAAAGCCTTAGGAATTTCCAGAGGCACACAAGCTGACACTGTAAAAATATAGTTTAAGATGGACAACTGATTTGCATTTCATGCATCATGCAGAAGCTAGGAAAAGAGCTTCTGCACATCCTAGCTTTCTCCCTCTTGACATAGAGAGGAATTGTCTACAGAGGTCTTATAATCAAGCATTTTGACCTGGCAAAAAAAAGGCCCAGAATTGTTTTTATCTCCAAACCCTAAAGCTCCTCCAGACCCCCTAAACAATTGGCTAAGGGAGTTTCCACTCAAGGAATTAGTATGGACTCAGGAAACTGGTTTGGACTTGGACTCAGATCATGGACATAGATGTACTGGAGTGGGAAGTGTAAGCCACACAGCAGAGAGAAGCAGAAGGTAAATCCACTGCAGCCTGTACACTGGTAAGAGGAGAGACACCAGCTGTGTGTGATTATGAGTGTGAGCTTATTAGGGCAGAGAACTGTGTCCCATTTATTTCCCCATGCTTTACCCTACCAGTACAGACTTCTTTAGTCTGACTCCCAGAAGACTGGAGATAGTTGGTGCATGCACCTTCTTCCTGGGAATTTCCTTCACCAAATGTTCACAGGCCAAAGGCATCCAACTGCAAGAGCATTGGGCTCAGCTGCTGGGAGCAGTCTGAGAGTAGTTCCTGCACTCCTCAAGTTGCCAGATGTGCATATAGAAAAAATACTGACTGGAATTCTGCCCAATATCTCTGCAGGTGCAACAAAGATAGCTTGAAAAGAGCCCTTTCTGATTCAACCTGTTTGAATTTAAGATAGAAAATGGATGCTCCCCATGTCTATTTTATTTTACATTTGACCACTCTAAAATGCACAGTAGTATGCAAAATCTACATCTACCTTCTAAAAGAGCAATGTATCTTTTTTTTACTGCTTTAATAGTGTGAATAATACAAAGGAATTTCATTGTGATATACCTATGCATGCACATAATGTACTTTGATCATATCTTGCCCTCTGTTACTGTTTCTTGTCTACTCTCTCCCTTGAAACCTTTTTTATAATATTTTTTGGGCTGATGGGCAGATTGAACATGAAGCTTTGCCTTGTTGGCACTTTCTCTACCTCTCAAGGCACGCCTCAGTCATGTTTTTGTCTTTGTTGTTTTTGAGACAGGGTCTCACTACCTTTCCCCAGGCTGGACTCCTAATTCGATATTCCGGCTTCTGAGATTGCAGGTGTGTGGCATCACACACACCCCTTTTCTTTCTTTTTAAAATAATTTCTGTGGACTCCATTATGTCCCTTAAATACAAACATAATGTACTTTGATCATATTCATCCCTATAGCCCTCTGTTTTCCCTATCCAATGAATTTTTCCCAATAGTTTCCATTTACCTTCATGTCCTTTGTTTCAGATCCTAGATTCTGCATATGAGAGATATATTTGTCCTTCTGAGTCTGGCTTATTTCACTCAACATGAAGATCTATAGTTCTACCCATTTCCCTGAAAATGGTGGAATTTCATTCTTTATTATGGGTGAATAATACTGTATTATGTACATAGGACACATTTTACTTTTTCCCTTTTTATTCTTCAATAGTATTATATTTTGTTATTTAAAAAATTATTAGTGCATAATTAATTGTACAAAGTCATTTCCTTGTGATATTTCCATATATCTGTGTAATTTAGTTTGAATAAATTCATCCCCTCTATTTTACTACTTAACTTCCTTTCTTCCTTTCACCCTTTTAAAACATTATTTATTGCGTTTAATTATGCTATTTTCATGCATATACATGAGATACTTCCAATGATGGAATTTCATGTTCACCTCCAGTACTCTGTCCATTCCCCTCCCCCTACCATTGATTTTGCCCACAAGATAGTCATCCTTTTACAATCATGTATTTATTATTATTTTTATTATTATTATTATAGGTCTACATTTCACATAGGAGTTAAAAATGTGATATTTGTCTTTTTATGTGTGCTATATCTTGCTTCCCATGATACTAATCCAGTTCTATCCATTTTCCTGCAAGCAACATAATTTCATTCTTCTTTATGGCTGAATAAACTCCACTCTGTATACATACTACATTCTCTGTACTTATTCATCAGTGATGGGAACTTAGGCTGATTCCATAGCTCAGCTACTGTGAATAGTGTTGAGACAAACATGGGTTTGCATGTGCCTCTATTGTATGCTGACTTACACTCTTTAGATATATGCCAATATGAGGCAGGATCATCCAGTAGTTCTATTCTTAGTTTTTCAAGGAAACTTCAGACTGATTTCTACAGTGGGAACCAACAGAATATAATGTTTCCTTTGCCCCTACATCCTTGCCAGCATTTGTTGTTGTTTTCTTGATGATAGCCATTCTGACTGGGAGAAGAAAGCTTGGTGTTATTTTCATTTCATTACCTTTATGACTAAGGTCATTAGACATTTTGTCATGTATTTATTGGTCATTTGTGATTTTTCTACTAATAACTGTCTATTAAATTCACTTGCTTATCTATTAATTGGATTATTTCTTCTTTTGGTGTTTTATCTTGTCAAAGGCTGTTTCTGCATCTATTGAGATGGCCATGTGATTTTGCCCTTGACCTGTATTTTACTTATTTTTTTTGCATTTCTGGAATCATGCTTGCATGCTTGGAATGAAATCCACTTGATCTTTTTGATGTGTGATGGAACTCAGTTTTCATATATTTTAGTAAGAAGTTTTCCATTAATTTAATTAGAATTAATTTAATTCTATTAAATTATTTTCTATTTAATAGAAATAATAGGTTAATTAACCTATAATTTTCTTTTTTGTTGTTTCTTTGTCTGGATTTAGTATCAGGGAAATAGAATGAGTAAAGTAGTGGCCCTTCCCATTCTATATTTCAAAATAGTTTGAAGAGAATAAGTGTTAGTTCTTCTTTTAAGGCCTAGCACAATTTGGCAGTGACTCCATCTTATCTTGGGATTTTCTTTGTTGGAAGGTTCTTTATTACTGCTTCATTATTGCCTACTCTATAATTTGCTTAGATGTTTTGTATCTTCCTGAAACAATTTTGGTAGGTCAAATACATCTAGAAAGCTATCAATTTCTTCAAGTTTTTCCAGTTTATTATAAGTTTTTACAGTATTCCCAAATGATCCTCTGAATTATTCATTAGTATTTGTTATGATAATTTAATTTTTTAACTTTAACTTTTGTTTATTGTGTTGTCTCTCTTTTCATTTGGCAGCTGGGATAAAGGGTTGTCAATCTTGTTTATCTTCTTACTTATTTCATTGATTGTATTGTCTGTTAGTCTCCATTTCATTAATTTCTACCCCAATCTTTATCATGTTTATTATTGAATTCTGCCAAATAATTGTGGGTTTGATAATTCTTGTCTTTCTAAGGGCTTAAGGAAGATAGTTAGGCTTATAATTTGAGATCTCTCTGATCTTCTAATGTAGGATTTCATAGCACAAATATTTCTTTTGGTACTGCCTTCACTATTTCCCAAATGTTCTGGTAAATTTTATATAAATTTTGATTTAATTCTAGGAATTTTTATCCCCCCAATTTCTTTGATGACCACTGATCATTAAAGAATAAATTGTTCAGTTCATATTTATGCATATTTTCTCTAGTTTCTTTTGTTATTAACTTCTAGCTTTCTTCCATTGTGGTCTGATAACATACAGAAGGTTAAGCCAATTTTCTTGTATTTGTTAAGGCTTGCTTTTTCCCTGAAATATACTGTATTTTGAAGAAAGCACCATGGACTTCTGAGAAGAATGAGCTGTTGTGTGACATATTCTTTAGATGTCTGGTAAGTCTATATGATCTGCAATGACATTAATTCTCAAGGTTTTTTTTTTACTCTATTTGTCTAAATGACCTATTTCTTCATGAAAGTGGGGTACTGAAGTCACACACTATTATTTTGTTGGGTTCTACCTGTGATTTCATGCTCAGTAGTGTTTTTTTATGAAATTGGTTCTCTGAAGTTTGGTGCATACATGTTTGCACCAAAGAAGTGACCTTCTTTGCCTTTCTGACTAATGGTGGTTTGACATCTGCTTTTTCAGATATGAATATGGCTACTATTTCTTGCTTTTGTACTCCATTTGCTTGGAATACCTTTTCCTATCCTTTCACTTTATCCCTATATATCTTTGCCAGTGACGTGAACTGTTCACAGGAAACAAATGGTTGGTCCTGTTTTTTAATCCAAAATGCCAGTCTGTTTCCTTTTTTTCTCTTTCAGAGTTCCCCTATCTTTATTTGTAGAGGTTATCCAATAATTTCTTTAATTACTTCGCATATTTCTGAGTCTGTTCTTGAGCTATTCTGTTGCAATTTTCTCTATCTGTTTTGTAGATCCGAGCAATCTCAGGCACTAAGGGATCATCTGGATTGGGATCACACAACAGAGAACAGATGGACAAAAGAACTTTGAAATAGTTAGTGCTGGAAACCACTGTGACCATAGAATATCAAGACAAATGTTGCCATTACTGCTAATGTTTGGATGATAAATTCTTGTTGTAAATGCAACCTTAGGTGGTTTGAAGGGATAATCTGTTGGGAAATGAATTGTCAAGAAAAATACTCCACCCTGATAGGGACTGTCATTTGGCCCCAGTATTGTAGCTTGCCAATGGAACATATCATCTCCAACAGGACCTGCTGAACATCGTGCTGAAGGGTCCCTTGCAAGGTCATTCAATTCCTTACGGATTCTCTTCAAAGCCATGGTGGGAGGTGGTGGCCCAGTCTGTTTCTTTTATTGGAAAATTGAGACCATTAACATTTATAGTTGTTATTGAAATGTATATGATATTTCCTGTCCTATTGTTGATATTATAGAGTTTTAGTCTTTGCTAATCTTCATTTGCTTATCTAGTAGTACATGAAGTGAAATTCATTCTTTCTTATATTTCCTGTATTTCTTATATTTTCATCCTTTCCTGGTTGTATTTACCTTCCTTTTCTGTGGGTAGGAGTCCTTTAAATATCTTCTGCAGTGTTGGCATGGTGGTCACAAGCTAGTTTCTGTTTATCAAGGAATGTCTTTATTTTTCTTTCCATTATCAAGGATAGTTAAATATAGTAATCAGGTTGCCAGTTATTTTTGTTCAAAGATTGAAATGAATCATTTCATATCACTCTTGTTTTTAAGAGTTTCTGCTGGAAAATATATTGCTATTGGGGGGTGGATGCCTGTATATGTACCTTGGTGCTTCTCTGTGTCAGCTTTCAATATTTAGTCCTTATTCTACATTTAATGTTTTAACTAAATGTTGACATGGAGAGTTTCTTTCCTGGTGTATGTCCTATAAACCTCCTGTACCTGGATGACTACCCAGGACTGGGTAGGGAATGGGTTGTGGTATGTTGTCTTACCACTCATCTGGAAGGGTGGCTCAGTAATCAAACATTCGCCCACTGTGATTAAGATGCCCACTTAATCACAGGGAATTAGGATTATAATGCTGTTTGAAAGTTCCTGTGCTGATTCCCAGAACAAGACTCTTTCTATCCTAGTTCACTGTAGTCTTACTCCCCATTGGTGTGGACTCTCTTTTCACTCCCAACTCCACCTCCACATCTCCCAGGTCCTTGCAAGATCAGAAGATATTATTCTCTCAACCCACATGGTTTCCACTGCTAGCCTCTGTGTTTATTGGAATTCTTGCACCTACACCATTTAGGTTCAGGCAGGGATTTCAAAGATGCACTAGGATTAGTGACAGAGCTATGATGGCCACTGGGGCTCTATCTTTAACTCACAGTGGTTCCTGAAACTTGGTTCATATAAATGCAAAGAGTAATATTCCCAAGGCAGGGCAGAGAAAAGGGAACCCTTACACATTGTAGGTGGGAATGTAAGTTCATAAAGAGATCAGGAAATGATCAAGCATATATCCAAAGAAATGAAAGCCACATGTTGAAGAGATATCTGCATTCCCATGTTCAGTGCAACAGCATAATAGTTAAGAAATGGAAACTACCTAAGTGACCAAAAATTGATGAATGAATAAAGAAACTATGGACATAAAATAATAAAATACTTTCACTTGTGAAAACAATAATGAAACTGGAGATAATTATGTTAAGTGAAATAAGCCATATACACAAAGACAATTATCACACAAGCTCAATTGTATGTGGAAGCTAAAGAAAGTGATCTCATAAAATTTGAAAATGGAATGGTGGTTAACAGGGACAGAGGAGTACACAGGGTTAGGAGAAGGGAAAGTAGGGAAAAGGTGATCAAAGTGTACAATATTATAAATCAATGGGAGCAAGAAGCTCTGATACCCTCTTGCATTAGAGTGACTATAGATTACAATAATTTACTTTGTATTTCAGAAAGCTAAAGGAAATTATGTTGATTTATATGTTACCCAATGTGTAGGTGTACACATTGGTATCCAATTATTTTAGGATTCTACATATCCTATTATAGTCTATATATCATTTTTAAAAGAAAGAAAAATGAAAATTAGTTTTTAGTTATATAGGGTCATTTTATGTATTTTATACATTTATAACTACATTTTAAAGATGCTATTTTCTAACACCATTTTATATACCTCAGTAGAGAGTTTTGTTCCTTCTCACAACTTAATTTTCCTTACTATTGAGTTACAAAATCCATTCTTTTTCATTTTGTCATTGTTTTGTAGATTGAAATATTAATTTTCTATCTTGTCAATGAAAATTCTGTTTTACTATGTTACTAAGGTTTCAGAATTCATAAATGGAAAGAACTAGTGTTACTGTAAGGACACAGGCAAAACAAAATATTTCAGAACAATTTTCCTTGAAAAGGTATAATGCAAAATTATATCTAATACCTGCAGAGACGTGGTTGCTCAGGCAGTTTGGTGTAAGGTGATATCCCAAACATGAGTTAAAGGATGAAAAGGAGTTGAGGATAGCTTTAGAATTCAAAGTTTCACTTGTTGAAACTGAAATATCCATGGAGACTTTAGAAAAAACACAGGGAGGCTCTTGGGGAAGGTCAATGTTTCATGTGGAGATGTGGGGATCAGCAAAACGTATTAGAGAATTAAAGGACAAAGTCTGATGCCATAAATTTGAGGGACAACTAAGGAATGAAATGGGCCAACACTGAAAATCTGATCCATGCCATACTGATACTGAGTTTAAAATGAATTATTGACAGTCTTTGTGATATGTCAAAGTTTCTTCAAAGGAACTGAACTTTTAGCAGCAAAAATACCAACACCAGAGAAAGGCATCCTTAAAAACGAATCCTTTTACTAGCTTCTCACATCTTTTACTGGTCCTGGAAAATATACTTTAGGGTCCCTGCCTGTTAACAAATTACAGATAAAGTCAAAATTATACAAATAATTCCATCATACAAAAGGATTAAAAATTTTAGGAACAACACAGCTTGGAAAGACAATGCAGACATGAAAAGAAATAATGGATGTGGGAAATTCAAGATAAATTGATGTCAAAATCTGTTCAAGAAGAACACGTAGCAAATATTAGAAGGGGACATGAGGTTGAGACATTTGGAGCACTATTGAAAAATGACACCAAGAAAAATCAGAATTCTGGATAAAATGTCAAAATCGTGGGACAACATTAGAATGTAGGGAATTAAGACCATATATAACAGTAGGTCTTACACTATAATTTTCCAGGATCACCCGGGCAAATCAAAGAGAAGGGCATAGTGAAGTCACCAAGACCTAGTTCACTTAGTTTAGCTACTCGCTAAACTTCCTTTATAATATATTGAAAAATTATGCAAATATTCTTTTAACAGAAACTCCCATGGTATGGAAAATCACTATCAACACATTTAGTTAATAAAAGTATGTAACATTCCCAAGTATTGACATCATATGTAGAAGGGAATTTTCTTCTTACAAAGGATTCTTCTCAGGGCATCATTCAAGTCTCTGTTCCTCAGGCTGTAGATGAAGGGGTTCAGCATGGGAGTCACCACTGTGTACATCATAGCCATGACAGTCTCCCTCACAGTAGAATTATTAGATGATGGACTTAAGTAGATCCCGACAGCTGACCCATAGAACAGTGACACCACGGACAGATGGGAGCCACAGGTAGAGAATACTTTGTAGATGCCCTGTAAAGAAAGAACCTTGAGGATGGAAGAGACAATTCTTACATAGGACATGATGATGAGCAGGAATGGAATGACACCAATGAGCCCTCCCATGATAAATATCACCAACTCATTTACATAAGTGTCAGAGCAAGCTAGCCTCAGCAGTGTAGACAAATCACAGAAGTAGTGAGGAATCACATTTTTCTCACAGAAAGACAATCTGGTCAAGAGCAGGGTGTGTAACAATGCATGGGACATTGTCAACAACCAGGACAGCACCAGCAGACAAAAACAGATCTTAGGGCTTATGATGCTGGTATAGTGCAAGGGGAAGCAGATGGCCACATAGCGATCATAGGCCATGGCCACAAGAAGGAAGTTCTCCAAGTCAGTAAAAAGCATGAAGAAGTACATTTGTGTCATGCATTGTGCATAGGGGATGGAGGGCACTTGCCTTTGCATGTTCTGTAAGAGTTTAGGAATAGTCACGGAGGAAAAGCAGAGATCAGAGAAGGACAAGTTGCTGAGAAAAAAATACATTGGTGTGTGGAGATGACAGTTCAGTTGAATGAGGACAATGATGAGGAGGTTTCCCAGAATGGTGGTAAGATACATGGCAAGGAACAGGGCAAAGAACAGGTGTTGGTCCTCTGGCTGGATGGGCAGACCCATAAGGAGGAACTCTGAGATGGTAGTTTGATTTCTTCCAGTCATGTTCCGTCTCTAAGATCTTTATTAGGATATGATATTATTACTTTAACATCCCAATAAAAATAAACAGATTTCCATGCTCGTGATATGTTGCATGTTCTCAATAATCTGTTGTGCTTTCATTGCAATAATATAATCTATAAGTGCCAATTTCTATAAACTGTATAATTATCAGAGACTTTTTATTAACTTTCTGTGAAACTTTCAGAAATCTTTTTTTTCAAAATTTTTATATATTTCCTTCAGAGACACAAAATGCATTGATTTTTTTCTAGCCTGCCTGACTGGTCATCCTACGCAATTGTCAGGATCCTAACTGCAGTCAACATCTTTTATGTTGGTGCTCCTAAAGAATTTGTCTAAACATTATCTTCTTACAGGTCTACATGTACTTCCATGAAAGCTGCAACTCCTTTAAGGGTTAGATCACCATTTAAAAATTAAGATTAGGCATATTTGACCTAAATGACTCTATATCACATTTCTTAATAATAATCTTCGCATTTCTATGCTACAGGCATGTTAAGCTCAAAACATTTCTAATGCAACACAATTTCACTAAGTTTTCTTCAATCTTCATGTCTTCTCCTACCTCATATTTTAGTAAAGGGAATTTGGGCTCATATAAAATTTTGTGAATTTTATTTTATTTGGTTTTACCTACCAGCACCATCAAGATAGTATGTTCTTTGGGTTCTTTTCTTCATTCCCCTGCTACTTTATACATTCATTACCACAAGTCTGTATTCCTAGAACAGAACAATATCTTGTCTCTCCATGACTATTAGAACACTCTCAAAACATGTCTCTCTTTCTATGTCTCCACCTTCAATAGTCTTCATTCACACTGCTGCTTTTTAGTATGAAAATTTGATCATTTCTATCCTGGTTAGGTGGTTTGAGGGAGTTCATTGCTCCAAAGTTAACAACAAATTTTCTTTCAAGGGCACAAATGATATGCTACCCTGAACACATCCTCCTGAGGCCCCATGGTGCCACTTAATTCCACTTTGAAGTAAGTAAGGCTGGATCTGAAACTCAAATTTCAGACTTCCAGTCTTCAACCCCAGCTGCTTCTCCTGCTTGTCACTTTGGCCCATCTCTACCATCATTCTTGTTTACTACATGACAATTGCTCAGCCAACTTTCTCTAGCCCCCAAAAGAAAAAAGATCTGTTTCCACATTCCCATAGCATCTTAAACAAATCCCATGTCACTAAGTCTCCTTGATCACTTGTTTATAGCTGACTTTCTACCAAATTGTTAGATCCATTCAGGAATGGCCATGTCTGCTTTTGTGACATAGAGACAGCACATGGCATGGTGCCTGGATGTGGCCAATGTTTCCTAAATATTTGTTAGCGTGAATGACCTGAAACATACATTCCTTCAACTTTAACAGCAGCAAACTCTCATTAAATAACAATAAATACTCATGTTAAACCTTCTCAGCATACAAACCCAATAGACTACACCATTTAGCACTATGTTTTGACACTCTGATGAGATTCATTGATGTAATTTTGTTCTTATAAAATTATTACTGTATGCAAAGGTATGACTTCTTTCAGTCACTCTGATGAATCATAATAAAATCCTTTTGCCTCAGTCCACATGACATCGTTGATATGATGTAGGCAAAATAAATACGATGAGCATTTTATAAATTATAGGTAAAATTAAAAAGAAGCATATCTTTTTTTTCTAACTTTTATTTGACTTACTCTTCAGATGTCCATACTGTATGTAAAGGTGAATTTTATGTGTCAACCTAAACAGGCCTTGATACCAAGCTTTTGGCAAATGCCAGTTCTAGATGTTGCTACCAAGGTATTTTTCAATGTTTTTAAATTTTAATTCCATATCCTTTGTGTAATGAACATTATACTTTATAATGTGATGAGCCACTTACAGTTAGTTGAACTTAAGGGAAAAGCAGCAGTCCTGAATAATTCTGCCTCCAAATTGCTTTATACTCAAGACTCCAACATGCAGTCTTCCAAGGACTCTGGAATGCAAGTCTCTGTTATTTAGTCTTCCAAGATCTCTAGTCTGCTGACTGGCCTGCCGTATAGGTATAGAACATATCAATCCCCACTATTGATTAAAATAAAGCACCCACACAAACACACAGAGACATAATCTGTATTCTGTGCTATCTAAACTAATGAATTCCAACATGTCTCAAAGGTGACAGAGAAAGCATAGGAGGAGAATTGACAGTCATGAGAAGTGCTTTCACTTAATCTCTGTAACTGAGTCCAACTGTTGGATTTTCACCCTAATGATGGTATTTAATGAAGGTGCATAAAGAGCTTGTACACTTGCATATTTTGTGTTGGCATTACAGAAGGAATGAATACGTAGTGAAAATCATCTGGAAGTTTTCTCAGAATTATGATCATATTGTGAGTAAGTGGGACTCATGTCTTTTTAGGAGTGTGTGCAATACTCACAAACCCAAAACATCAACTGTCAATATTGCCACTGGTGATGCAACAACCTTCATATCTTTTTTAGCTCGTAAATTAGTAGTTCTCAACCTGACAGCACCTAAGAATCCCTTATGGAAAAGTATCTAAAATTCAATACACATGCAAATCACCTGGGATCCTGTGGAAACATTGATTCTGATTCTTAACTTAGATTATGTCATTTGAATAAACAACTAGGTTATGTAAATACTTTGCACCCATGGACTAGATTCAGTGTATTGCACTTGGGGAGCAAGTGCATGTATTGCTATTATAAATAGAGATTACTGAGTCCCTCAGATTAATTTAATCATAATATATGATAAGAGTATTGCCTGAAGTTTTTAAAAGCTCTACATGTGATTCTAAAAGAATGGCATTAACTCTTGCATGGAGCTGCTGTGTTGCAGTGATGCAATCTTGGTAGGATACATTGCACAATAAGTAATACTAATGAACTCTATTATTAATAAAAAGATTTTAAGTGATGACCATAAATAAAATACTGCTACAATGTTTCAAATCTTGGAGAACCCAGAGAATAAAGAAGAAAATATTGAACCAGGAGCTGGTGGTTCACTCCTGTAATCCTACCTATGCAAGAAGCAGAGATCATGAGGATCATGGTTCAAGGCCAACCCTGGGCAAATAGTTTGTGAGACCCTATCTTGAAAAATATGCAACCCAAAAAAATGGCTGGCTGAGTGGCTTAATTGGTAGTGTGCCTGCCTAGCAAGCATGAGGCCCTGAGTTCAATCCCCAGTTCAGCAAAAAAACAAAGAAAAAAAGAGGAAAGTATTGTACCTGAAAACTTGTTGAGCAAACATATATTGCCGAAATCAACAATCTCAGGTTGGAAGTACAGTAGGGTATAAGCTCAGTGTCCCTCTTGACAAGTCACACAGGGTGCGGGGAGTGTGGTGTTTCTGAAACCTGAACCAAACAGGACTCCCCTTTATTCACTACATTTACAGGAAGCCACTGTCTTTCTATTCACCAACTGGCTGTTCCATCCCTGCTCATATCTCCTCTTCTAAACCTCCCTGGGCCTATGGGGCTTTTCATCCCAAAAGAGTGTAGTACCTGGAGTAACACGTTAAAGACAAAGTAATCACTTAACACCTTCATAGTACCAATTTTGTAAGAAGACCTTAGTGGTTTCTGATTATAGTCACTGATCACACTTGAGTATACTTTGGGGAAAGGTAGAGATGGAGAGAAACTATTGATACATGCTGACTCCTTGACTGTTTAGGGAATGGACAGTAGTATGTTGTTGCTACAGTCTACAATTCTGAGGATGAAGGTTGTTAGAAAACCAGTAAAATTACTCAGAGACCAGACTGTAAATGATTTAAAATATCTTATGCTTATAAAAACTTACATAAGAAGACATCATGGCTTCCACTGAGTACCACATGAAAAACATAAACAGGCTTTGTAAAGATTCCCAACAGACAGTTTCTCAATGCAACATGAATCCATGTAAACAGATTATAGGAGAAATGAACATGGTGGTAACTAACAATGATTAGACTTCTATGGTCCTACTTAGTGTGTATCTCAATATATGACAAGGACAGGAATAAGAAAATAGGCAAACTCTGCCAAGATCATATTCAGTTCTTCCTCAGGTCAAAGTGGAAACAGAAACCCAGATTTCTACCCCATTCATTTACTTTTGGCTCCTGTGTCTCTAAGGAAAGTTGTAGTGATACCTACTCTACCACTGTCCAACTACTCTCTCTGTCTCTGCATATGTTACCTCCTAATGCCATGTTCTATGTTCCTGCCATTAACCAACATGCCAGAGCTGACATTTATAATTTCTTTTTGCAGCACATGTTCTTTGCATTGTCAATGATAAGATGGATGAGCTTCTGTATATAGTTGTGATTCCTTGTCATAATTTTGACACCAGAGAAGGAGTCTCCACAGTTACAAGGGCACAAAACTTCTAAGAAACTAGGCATATGATTTTTAGGGACATTTTCCCCACTATAATGTCAACAGATAATGTTCAAATATAAAACTGATAGTGCAACTGAATCAAACACTATTTTCAGGGGGAGAGCCCAGCAGTTAGTCTCAATTATGTGTTTTTTAGTAAAGAAGCCTGCCAAATCTCAATGCTCATCTATTTTAGGGCATACTGATGTTTATTAGAGTAACAATTTTTCAGAAATCTGAAATCTGATATACATGTTATATACATGCATGTATATAAATGGTGTGTGTGTGTAGATATTCAGAGGAATAGTGAGATCAAAGGAGAGACAGAGAAGAAATTTATTTTAAGAAATTTGCTCTCAAGCCTATAGGGGCTGACAAGTCTAAAATATGCTAGCAAGGCCAGTAGGCTGAATGTCTAGTATAACCTTGACTCTGCAATTCTGTATATAAAGGTAGTCTACAGCAATTTCTTTTCATTTTCGTAAGCATGAAGTCTTTTAAGATTTTCAGTTGACTTGCAAGGCTACCACATAAAGAAGGACAATCTACTTTACTCAAAGTTTACTGATTTAAATG